CGATTTTTTTTTTGCTGTGGGCTATCATTTTTTTTTTCTTTTTCTTTATTTTTTTTTACCTCTCAAAAGGGGGAGGGGCTTGGCCGGTCCCCCTAAAACCTCCCTGATAATAATGGGTAATTATGTTTTACTGATTGGCAATAGTAAACATGACATTAAGAATTATAATGGTATAATGGTAAAGGCTAATTTTATTGCAACAAAAATGAGCAAACTATAGAATTAAAAGAAAGGTTACAAAACAACCAAATAAGAAACAATAACACAATCATGACAATAAGAGAAAAAAACCGCATTATTTGAATAATAGGCCAAACAATAAAATTACTGCAATAGATTAATCGGAGAAACGATGAAGAACATGATGTTGGTAGTAGCAGATTTTTTTTCTGTATTGACTGGATGGAAAATTAACAATTACCGTAATTATTCGAATAAACGCCTCGCTTTGAATAAACGCCCCACTTAAAATATACGCCCCCTCAATAAACGCCCCCTCAAGAGCCTCATTTGGAAATGCCCCTCGAATAAACGCCCGAGGTGTTTATTTTTTTCTTCGAATAAACGGCTCCACTGTAAACTGATGTAATAGAAGCAACGTAATTATAAACACATTCTATTAATGTTCTACTCAAGTGGATGGGATTCATAAGTATTTATGATTTCATTTTCAAATAATCCATATTTCATTCAAGAAAGAAAGATTGAATATTATAATATTTGTCAAAGAATATACATCAAGAAATCTCAAGTACATTTCGACATTCAAAATATTCAAAAAGCACACCAAGTATTCGACCAGATAAAGAGATAGGCCTATAAATACAAAAATTTAAGAAGTTATATTAGTTGTAGTTCAATATTTATAGTGAAGGTAAGGGGCGTTTATTTGAGTAATTACGAACAATCAATATTCTCAACAATAAATGCGTTTATTCGAATAAATACGTAATTACGAACAATCAAAATTTCTTATTTTAAAACTATGGTTCATTGGCAATCGCTGTATCACAAAACTATGTTAATTTACCTTGGCGTATTTTATGCGAACAATTAATGGTTACTTTAATTTGCCTTAATTTATAATTTTGATGATTTCAAGAAGAGACGTAGGCTTATATTTGTGTAATTAATGAAAACAATGTATTGCCGTAAAGTATGCTTGCTCTATTTATTTATGGGTCCAATGCAGACGAATTAACGAATTCAATCGCAAGATGGAAAGATACATTTTGAAAGACCCCAAGCCATTGTCCATACCGTACTCGCGCGAATAAGCGCCCGGGCGCTTAAAATATTTTTTGCACTTTTTGAGGGGCGCTTATTCAAACAGGGCGCTTATTCGAACGGGGCGCTTATGAAAACAGAGTAGAAATTGAGGGGGCGCTTATGGAAATAGATGAAAATCGAGGGGTTCTTATGAGAATTTATTGAATTCAAGAAGCACATTTTAAATGAAAAACGATCAGGCCTATATAAAGACATCAGGAAACCGCAAATTACGAATGGTGGTACGGCGGAAAAGATAATAGTGCAGAGAGCTGTTATGAGTACAGTATTACATAACAGCAGAATAGCAGATGGAAATTAGTGGTGGTGGTTAGCTTTTTGGCCATCGGCCGATTGAGATTAGCAGGACGGCATGATCATTGCAGGTTTTCCTGAAAACTCAGATGAGAATGTGTTAAATGTGCAAATTGTCGGAATAGGAGTAGGACTAGGTTATAGACAAATGTAAGAAGATGAAAGTTGGAAATACACTTCCTGACCAGGGAGCTCTCATCCTGTCCAAGATAAATATCCTCATTTTGATATTGACTAAAGGAGAATGTGATTCCTCTCAACATCTCAAATCATGCCAACATCTGCAGTCCCAGGATTGATTGGATTATTGAGGGGGCGTTTATTCGCGCGAGTACGGTATTTCATATTTCAAGATTCAATTATGTTGATCGTTTAATGGGTTTGGATGGTAAGCGATGGCCTAACCTAAACAGGTCACTTAATAATCTGTCTTCGGACTTAAAGGAATTACGTCCATTTATAGATATTTTTTAATTTTATTAAAAAAATAAAAATAAATAAAATATTGATCATCCTAATTGGTTTTGGTCAATAATAACAGACAGAAAGACACACCCGAAAGACAGGCAACCATGAATACATAACCTCCTTGGTGGAATTACTAATGTCTTGTGTTTCCAAATTTACACATTGTACAAATGCCATCATGGTCCCATCCATTTAGATGCAGACTGGTAAGAGCAACGTTAAATTTGTTTTTGTCAAGTAAATGATTTTCAAAATAAATTTCAGATTTTAATTTTATGCAATAACAGAAAAATGATTTAGGCCTACTGAGGGGGTCTTCCAACCCTTTTGGCTCTCTGATATAATTCGTTATTATTGACCAAAACCAATTAGGATGATCAATATATATTTATTTATTTATTTATTTATTTTATTTTTTTTTTTGAAACAGGAAAGGAATTCTGACTACATAATAATAATGTGCTTCTCATGTAAATATATAACATGTGAATAAATGAGAAGCACACTTTTACTCTGTTTTGTAATCGGAATACCTTTCCTGTTTCATGGAAACGCACAATCACAAAGTTTCTTTCAAACAAAATAACTATTTATTTGGTTAAACTATATTGATTTTATTCGAATAAATAGCAACTAACGATCACAGTCTTCTTTCAAGCAAAATAAATATTTATTTGGCGAAACCATAAATATTGATTTTATTATACCGGTACATTGTATATTTGTACTATTGTACATATAATACATTAGTTATGCTTAAAATATAGAAACAGTACGGTATTCGTATGTAGATATAGTATATGTAATATTATACGTTAAATCTGTAAATATGACATTTATTCTGTCAGACTTTAGCCTTGTTCGCACTGGATTTTTAAAATGGTAAATTTAACCAGGGTAACTTTAACCAAAGTCATGGGTACATTTCACCATTGTTCGCACTTGGATTATTCAATAAAATTACACCTGTTTTTAATTTCTAGAAATATCTAGGCTCATACCGTTGAAAATAATATAATGGTAATTGATGGAATTATAATGAAATTGTTGGAAATTTCTCATTAAATTAAATTATGACACACAATGGATCATTGTGTGTTATGTTGAAATGAAATGTGGAACAGTCTACTCTGTAGCCTATTAATGAATTTGCTTTGTTATATAGATATGCTGCTAGTCATATGCATACGGCAGAAATATTGAATAATAAAACGGCATTCAAAGAAGAAACTGTAGTGACACGTGACATATTAATACAAAAGGAAGGAGCTGTAAACGAGACATTGATAGAATATTATAGGTAAGTGATGCTCCAAAAGGTTTAGTCCAGATCGAGATCAATATGTGTTCGCCATAATAAAATAAAAATGATAACTGGTGATGATGATGTGTGTATGAGCGTTGAAACAAAACACTTAAATACTGTAGATGATTCAAATACATTATGATATATTAAATTACCGTGGCGTAGAACATAAGTTTATACCAAAAATCATGTAATTTGAAGTGGTTGATAAAAATACAGAAAAAAACCCTAAAATGCTTTTAAATAATTGGGAACTTAAAATTATACAGAAAACTTAACGTCAACTAGCATACAACGATGTATAAATTTATTTTAAAATATTGTAGTATTTAAATCTATTTGTTCATTATATAATACAGGAACAAAATAATAGTTAAGTTGAATAATTTCATCACCTTCTAAAGAATGTTTTTCTTAATTTTTTTCTTTATTATGAAGGATAATATTAACGTTTTTAATATATCCTTCACACTAAAGAAAATTCAACAACGGGCAGAGTGGAACCAGCACAGACTCTAAGTTCATAAATTGCTGGTCCCCAACCAGTACAACTGCAAAGACACAAACACATTAAACAGTAGTGTTCTTGCAGATATTGTTGATCTTCTACCACAGGGACCCAGTTATAGTAATGGTGTAGTGTACGATCCCTGCAGCTCTTCACAATTCATTCATCACATCTATGATACGGTTCATGAATATCGCGTCAAGTTTTATTTCTGATTGTATGATTTTACCGACACGTAACTCTGCTTTAATATCTAGGCCTATATCATAGATTTTTACCATTGAGCTGGGAACTCACTGTGTCATACAAGCCGTCTGTTGATTATCGGTGGCAGTCTTCATTAAAAACGATTTTGTTGTGCATGCGTCGTGGAGTTTCATTCTCCAGAGAATCGCGTCGACCGATCTATGGGGCACAGTGAGTGCACTGCTTTACTAAACCAAAAATTAGACAGACAAAAACTAAAACACATTTAATATAGCTGTATAAAGTAATTTCAAAATTATTTAGTTATGTTTCCTGAGAAAGTACACAAGGAATTTAGCCGTTTTAACTGCATGCGCTCTACAGTTTAAATTATTATCAAAGGTAATTACAAATGTAGGCCTATTATCTATTGATTCTTTTGATTTCAATACCAGTAATTTATTTAAAACATCAAAACTGGATGACAATGTCAACCGCGTTTTTTTTTTTATCAAACTCCCAATATGAACAGCAATATCAAAGACACCAATTTTCACCACGATTAAATTTGATGGACACCACCACAATTATTTACACTAAATATCAACTAGGCCTACCATTTCTTCAGCTTTGCTACCGTCAATCATCAATTCATTTTTGGCGCCACTCATCAAAGTATTGCACTGGAGCAGTTTTGTTCTTACATTACTTCTTATTTTCGATCATTATTCAATGAATTCATTATTCGTTCTTACATATTTTGGTATGTGAGTATCCAGATTGAGTTGAGCGACAGTTATTTGTGTACATTTTATCATACAAAAGCTGTTACGCACCCCTTGAGGTGATTCAGAACGGCTTTCACGCTATTGTAAACATGGTTTTTAATTTGCAAATCAACCAGGTCTCCCTCAAATTAAAGACTGCTTTTGGAACAGAAATTTTTGTGTGGTCTTTAGCAGCTTTTTTTCTAATTAGAATCCCTTTAATTAAAGACCGGCACTAAAAGTGGTCTTTAAATATCTCTAGAAGAGAAATAAAAAATGACAAGTCTATCGTAAATGTAAGATCGAAGTATTTTTAGCATGAATGTACAGTTACTGAACACCGTTCTCCTAATAATTCAATATACGGAAGTTTTTACACAAAACATCATTGCATATGTTGTGTATTATTTTGATGTAATGTATATAGGCCTAGGTCTATAAATGGAGTGAATCTTTAATTGAAGGGACAGTTAATAATAAAAGATAGGTATTTAACAGGGACCGCGAATGTACAGTTACTGAACACCGTTCTCCTAATAATTCAATATACGGAAGTTTTTACACAAAACATCATCGCATATGTTGTGTATTATTTTCATATAATGTATATAAAATATATATATATATATATATATATATATATATGTATAAAATGTTTAATTCCGTATATAGAACATCGAAACATTTACTGATTCGTCAACAAGCGTCACGTGACAATTTACGCGGAACGCGACCGTTACGTTGAGGATTGCCATTTGCGCCTGTTTTTGGTTGGATGGTAGGCTATGTGGACGTCCGTTTTCTGCATTCAACTTCTGCTGATACGTTTAGAACCCGAACTTTTAATCAAAACAATTTTATGAAACTATGAGAGGTGAAGGTAAGTTTATTATTTGATATGCATTAAGTTAAAATGTCTTTTAAAACTAAAATATACACAATAAAAAACACGTCAACCAGCCAGAGCCGTAGGCCAGGGCCTAGGGGCAGGCCTAGGAAAACACGTCAACTAGCCAGAGCCCTAGGCCTAGGAAAACACGTCAACTAGCCAGAGCCCTAGTAGCCAGAGAGTTGAACAATATAAATTAGGAATAGATTTGCTAGCGAAGGAAGCACAGAGGCGCACTGGAAGCTAGGGTCCAACGCTCATGCCCTCGGAAAAAAAAATCCGTTTTCTGCAATAGTTTGATTGTATTATTTGACGTCAGGTTTATTGGTTTTTGTCATATGGTTCTATCTAAATACGAGTCGGGTTGGCGAAATCTGTCCAGAATACAGACTTTCTCTGTCCAGAATACGGGCTTTCTCTGTCCAGAATACGGGCTGTATGAGGGTGCTGTTGTCCAGAATACGGGCTTTCTCTGTCTAGAATACGGGCTGGGCTGTGAAAATCTGTCCAGAATACGGGCTGTCAAATCTGTCCAGAATACGGGCTATATGGGGGTGCTGTTGTCCAGAATACGGGCTTTCTCTGTTCAGAATACGGGCTGTGAGATCTGTCCAGAATACGGGCTGTAAAATCTGTCCAGAATACGGGCTGTATGGTGGCGCTGTTGTCCAGAATACGGGCTTTCTCTGTCCAGAATACGGGCTGTATTATTATGGTGGCGCTGTTGTCCAGAATACTGGAATACGGGCTTTCTTACATCATATTCTATTTTTAGATTTGGCACATCAGTGGAACGGAAGCCCGTTAGTGTCAACAATGAATAAAAATTTCAAATCAGTTAACATAACACATAATTATGTGGCGGCCGCCACTTAATTATGGGTACCCAGGTTGCGGTATTGCATTAGGCCTATCTTGATGTAGAACAGGCCATTAAAGCGCATAATTGGCCTAGCATTTAATATACGGTAGCATTTAACCTAGCTATTCATTTTAGCTACAGCTTGTAATAGCTTATAGGCCTAATAGCAGTCATATAGCCATTCACAAAATATATCTATATCTTTGCTGTAGCACATCAACTGTATTATATGTTCTATTTTGCTGTTTATGTGAGTGTGATATTGTCTGTTATAGCTGGGTTAAATATTAAAGGGCATTAAATAGTGATTAAAAACATACAATTAGCTGGTCACCAGCTATACCTTATAATAGCAGTCATATAGCACCTATTTCATAGGTGCTTAATAACTAGACTTAAAGAACGTTCTTCACGATCTGATAGTGTTATATTTGATCATGTTAAAAACCTGTCTTGTTAAAAACTGTGAGGCATTCCAATTTGTTTTAGGATTACAGGGTATACTTGAAAATGATAATGTCGTCTGTAATGTAAGTAATAAATTAGGTTTAATATTTTCTAGTACTAGCATTTTTGACAGCTCCCGAAACTGGTCTCTCCTATTGTTTAAAGAAGCGTTCGCTATACGTAGACTACACCCTTTGCTTAACAATGGGCTTAGAGCTTCAAAAGAGCTTTCTTTGTTTTTGTAGGTATCTTTGATCATTAGAGTAAGAATGCTTTGATCTTTTGTTTAAATCACTGCTATGTCACCTACTAGAGGTAATGTTTTGATTGGTTAAACACTTTTCGTACTAGTGCATATAAGCTTGCTAATATGGATAATTTTTCATTCCTGATGATGACATAATTAATGTCGAAATATTGAATCCCAACACGATGGCGTGTATTTCAATACTTGGAGTATGTATTATACTTTCTTATCTGAGATTAATCAGTGGATCTTTCGGCCATTTCAAAAAGTGTTAGCAATTACATGGTTAAGTATTAAATAGCGGTTAAAAGCATGTTCGTAGCTGTTATACAATATAGCTTATAATAGCAGTCATATAGCACCCATTTCACAAAATATAACATCACTAGGAAGCATTAAAATAATAGCGATTAAAAGAATGTCATTAAATAGGCGTTTGCGATGATAGGCGTTAGGTTTAAGCACGTCATCAGGCGTTTGCGACGATAGGCTTTAAGGTTAAACATGTCAGCCATTTTACCATGTCCGCTAATAAATAGGTGTTCGCACCAGCCATTGCATTAATGAAGAGGAATTAGGGTTAATAAGTTTTTCAGACTGAGTCGTCAGTAGGAACTGTGTACGCTAATATATAGGCATTTTCACCGGTCATTTGCAATTGAATATGTTATTTTTCCTATTTGTTATCGTCGCAAACGTCTATTCAATGGTAAAATACTGACGTGCTCCAAACTTAATCCACAAAATAACCATATAATCTATCGGCGCAAATGCCTGACGCGCTTAATTCTAAAGCCTATCGTCCGCAAACGCCTATTCAATGGTAAACCAGTGACGTGCTTAACCATAACGCCTGTTGTTGCAAACCCCTGACTTGCTTAACCCTAACGCATATCTTCGCAAAAGCCTATTCACCTGATGTGCTCAACCCTAATGCCTATCATCGCAAACGCCTATTCAATGATAAACTGCTGGCGTGATTAACCCTAATGCCTATCGTTGCAAACGCCTTTTAAATGGGAATGTGCTAAATTGCTTAACGGTAACGCCTATCGGCGCCAACGCTTGACGTGTTTAACCATAACGAA